GTTTCAAGAACCGGTGTGATCAGGAAGGAGTCTTAGAGGATGCTTAGCAGCCCACGGGAACCTGCAGGCCCCGGGGAAGACAGGGCGAGGGGTGCTCTTTGGGAAAGGAGATTTACGGAGTCGGTAGATCAGCTCTAGGCTTGGAAAATTCCTACCAGACGCAGGAACAGATATAGCCAGGCCTCGGGAAGTTTTGCTGAGACACCCCTTCCCAGGACATCCCACACGCCTGACCCTGTACTGCCACTCCCCCTGGAGGAGGAGGAGTGGGCCTTCATGGCACATTTATTATGCAGACACTGTATTCCCTACAGAAATAGGGCATGAACAAACACTGAGGAGACCCCAGAATAGAGCCAAGTGTAAGGAAGACTGCAGGAGGTGAACTTTGCATGTTGCCAGCGCTCGTTCCAGGGTTCCTGCGAAATCACTGGGTTTATAAATAGTCTGGCACCCCAGACTTGTGCATCTTGTAAGAGATGGGCGTCCGGGTAAAGAAGGGGTGATCCCCTTAGCCTTTGGTCATCCCGTGTCTCACCCGCTCATACCTGAGGACAGGCAGTGCAGAGGCAGCCTTTCCCAGATGGAGGAAACCCAGAGGGAGCTGATGTCCCTGGCTATGCCGTGTGACAGGCGACTAACATCGAAAGACAGGCTCCCACAACAAACTTTCCGCAAGTAAAAGGGGAGGTGAACTGCTGGAGGATTGAACTCGCGATTGGCACTAAATGGTGCCTTCAACCGTGGAGACCTTGCCAAGGAAGGAGCCCCGACTCTGTGATTCTAAGTCTTCAATTAAAAAAATGACAAAGTGAGCCCCCAGTCCATTATTCAAGGCTAGGGCCACCCCAGCCTCAGCCCGCAGGCCCGTGGCCCAGTTGGTTCTCTGGCTCAGGTCATGATTCAAGTTCAGACTGAAGAGCTAATCAGCAGGTTGTCTTCATGCTGCTGCTTCTCAGCGAGACCCGGGGTTTATCATATTGGTGCCTATGCTGCCGAGCTAGGCTTCTCACCGATGTCCTACTCACTACGACAGGTGAGCTAACTTGCGACAGTAGGTATAGTGCTGTGACACTCAGGAATGTGGGTTTCCCTTCAGATGGGAAAAACAAAATACACGAAAACCTTGTACTTAGTTAGATGCAGTGGGGGGGGACGGGACACACACACACACAATCAGCCCAGTTATCCAAGTAGCTGCCATTCTTACTACGACATTTAGAAGCGCTCCTCCTCTCCAGACTTGCTGTGGGGTTAGGTTTTATGTCACCTTGATGGTACCTATGCAGAGACAGGGGTACAGACCGGCTTCCCAACCAGGTGATACCCTAGTGGATTTTCTTTGGGGGTGTGCCCTTTTTATAAGGAGAAACTGGGAACGTCTCTCTCTCTCTTGGTCCATTGCCTTCCTCCTTGCTGGGACTCTGTCTGCCTCCAGAGGTGGCCCCAGGTGAGCCACCTGAATCTGGGAGCTCTCGCTTGCCATCTTCTCATCGACCTTGGATTTACAAGTCCTGCACCGGTGATCTCCCTCCGACCTGCTCCACCTTTCTGTGTCACCGGCCTGCAGCTGCGTGAATCTGCAGAGGGCTCCAGCTAGCATCAGACCCATGGACTTGAGTTGGACTGGGCTGGGCGGGCGCCTTGATATCAAACTACTCCTTGATAGGAAGTTATTTTTTACACACATATGAGCATCACCCGTTTTGTTTCACTAGACTACCCAGTCTACAACGGTTCCAGACTGACACAGATAAAGGGGAGTCTAGTTAAGTGTCTTTCTAAGGCAAACCTCAATAATGGAGGATTCTTTAGTTTCTCAGCCCATCAATTGAAGGGCTTTTATGTTTAGGATTTTTTTTTAAGATAAGAGCCCAGAAGTGCTGTGTTCCTTCTTCTATGAGAGGAGAAAATCCTTTCATAGTTGGGATAATAATCATGGTCTCCTGGTTTAGCCAATGTGACCTAATGCAACACGATTAAATGGATTATTTTAAATAATTCCCTAGCAGCTGGGTAAGTGAGATTGTGCTCACAAGTCTTACGTGGAGAGTAGCCCTTTGGGATGAAAGGAGGAAGGTTAAAAAAAGAAGTGAGCATGTTGAATGCTCCCTATGGAGCGGGGCTCGTGTTAGCCTCTGTGACCAAAAAAAGAGACTTCGCTGAGTCCTCCAAGAAGCCTGGTGAAATGGAAGTTATTGACTCCATTTACACAACAGGACCCCGAAGGCTAGAGCGAGCCGACTGCTCCCAGTTCACA